GTCCAGCAGCGTCCTGGGTCCCTGGGGGCAGCGGGCCCCATAATCGCAGCCAGAGCTGTGTGTCTTGTGTTAGCTAGCAGAATGGCGTCTCTGGCTCGATGCCTGTCCTGTGAAACGAGGCTGTCCGCTTCCCTTCCTCTTGCCCACGTGGAGGCCACGCCGTGGAGGGTCAGAGGCAGGAGGGGTCAGCAAAGCCTTCCATGTGGAGGGGCAGGAACATCATGCCTACGTTTTACGAAGTGGGCTATAGTGCTGCCTGGGGCCAGTGCTGGAGTGATGCCGAGGCTGCAAGAGCAGATACCTGTACTTCACGCTGGTCAGAGGCTGTGGTACAAATGCTGCTCTTTGCTGAGGGATGGGCTCTGAGTCATTTCTTTCCTTCCTTTTCTTCTGAAAAGGGGGAGGCAGATGCTTGGGAGCCTGTGGACTAAAAGACGATGTCCCTGTGGCCACTGCATGGATTCTGGGTCATCGTGACCCTGCAGGGGAGAGCTGAGTGGCCCTGTGGGGTCCCACGGCTGTGAGTGACTACTGCGCTGGAACCCCTGACCCGTCGGTTGGCAGCCTGGCACTGCAGTCCTGTGCCACCAGGGCTCCTGAAATGGCACCGTTAAGGGCTATTTTTGTGCAATCCCATACAAGCATGTATTCACTCGATATGGACCATTCTCAAGCACCTGAGGCACCCTGCTGGTGTGCACCGTGGGCTATACATTGTGTGCACCATGGGCTATACATTGTGTGCACCGTGGGCTGTACATTGTGTCCACCATGGGCTATACACTGCGTACACTGTGGGCTACACATTTTGTGCACCGTGGGCTATACATTGTGTCCACTGTGGGCTATACATTGTGTCCACTGTGGGCTATACATCGTGTACACTGTGGGCTATACATTGTGTGCACTGTGGGCTATACATTGTGTGCACCGTGGGCTATACATTGTGTCCACTGTGAGCTATACATTGTGTGCACTGTGGGCTATACATTGTGTGCACC